GCAAGGCAAGATGAAACTGGAGTTCATATACCAGAAAACACACGGGGAAAGCTGGGGGACCCACTGACGAGCCGAACCCCTCGCAGCTGCGTCAGGCAGCGGCACAAGATCGGCGAAACACGCGTGTCTGGGCTTTTAGCTAATACCTGTGTTGTTAGTACGGTAAAGTATTGCACAATGCTACAGTTAGAAATACCAAATCAGCAGGACCAAACCCAGACTCGCAGACCCAGGCGGCACATATTCTTTCTAAATGTGTTTAGGTGAACTCCTCCTCACGGCAGTTCCAAGCACCTGTGGTGCCCGTTTTAGACGGAATAATTTTGCGTAGGCGGCCACGACTCCGTAAGGCGAGTCCCGTGGATGGAGCAATAGAAATCTTGTAGGAAGCTCATGCGAACTCAGGTGGCATTTCTGTTTACTGAGATGCCTGACTGCCTGTTTCTCCCTATCCGTCAGGTTGTTTTTCTCGATCTGCACCCCTAGGACACTCGGAGTTTTCCTACAGTCTTAAGCAGGTTGATTTATTCTGTACAATAGGCTCACTTACACTTTATTGTGTCGGCCTTACAAGGTCCACATAAGGGCTATTGGGGCCGGGGATCGTTCTGCTCAAACGAAATTACGGGTGGACCGCTAGCCAGATCTTGGGGAATAAGCAATATCGCAACCGTCTGTTGCCCTAGTAATTGGATCGCTTCTTACCCAATTCACTTAGAGATGACTTTAAAAATACCGGATGATGGAAGAAGGAGAGGCAAGGCTTTTCATTTTTAAACTACGGCTTCTGTTTCAACAAAATAAGTGAAAAAGATAGGATAAAATCACAAATATAGAGTTCAATATGAGAATTAAGTTCTTTGAGGAGGGATTGAGGTGTGCAGAAGGAGGGGGGTGGGGGAAAGTAGGGGATACGTAATGATAATTTGTTCCGCGGTGGTGGAGGCAGCTGGGGACTGAGGGACGGCACATTAATCAGATGGCGCCAAGGTTCTGGAGATCTGGATTATGGTGGCCAGGGTGCCACTGAACAAAGAAAAGATACCAATCAATGTGAGGACAGTGTGCTTGAGAACGACGGTCAGCCAGAAACGAGGTATAGTGTCGCGATCCGGCCACAGGTGCACCATCTCAAGCAGGGGCGGAATTATGAGTGCGAGCATGGAGCTGCTCACAGCACCCAACAGAGAAACCATGAGATCAAGATGTGGAACGGCCATTGCGATGATGTCTGTAAGCCGACATTAAAACAGAACGCCGTTAGGGATTTCAGATGAGAGATAAGGCCGCAACAGTTGAAAAAGGGTCACTTAGGTGCGCTTGGAGTCTAAAGGTAGCCTGGGTTAACCTACGAGTCAGCCATGCTTGTAAGTTTGATGGGGGGTAGGAACGAATAAATTTATACTCCTTTTTGACTTGGAAATTGACACAGGGATGCAGGCTTGATTTCTGACAAAGATTTGTCAACAAAAGGCTATAATAGTCACTGTCGCTTTTCTATCGTTATAACTCAGCCTGAGATGTGAATCCAGAACGGTATTTTCGAGGTTCCATGATCGACCAGTGAGAAAAGGATCTGTGATCTGTTGGTCGCAACTCACTGACCGGAGAGCCAAGTCAGATGAAACTGTCCGGCGGTAGTCCTGGCAGTCCCTGCCCTCTCCATCCCCTAGCAAAAAGCCATATAGAGCGGACAACATGCAACCCCAAAAGTGGCCCAGGATAAGTCGGCTCGTCTTTCCACACTGTAACAAAATTGTTGCCCACAGAGGAGCTCGGCAGCCGCCTAGGATGACCCAGAAGTCCTATTCAGGCAAACAAAGGTGAAGACCTACATTTCCCGGTAAGAATTGGGTTAAGGCCCCCAACAATCATTGTCATACAAAGAATACCTACTTATTGAAGTGGAGTTAGGTCCGACACGATTATTTCGGTTTGGTGTTTCATCGTACAAGGTTGGGTCGTCTGTTGTAGACGGTCTGGTACATTATCTACAATGAACTCACCTCAGATAGTTGAGAAGCGATCGTTGTAGACACTTAATGTTTATTTTTTAATTGTCCTCCTTAATTTCGGTTGCTACATGTCCATGCATTAAAACTTTTCCGACCGAAAAACAAATTTACCAACTATCTATACTTATTTTGCCATTCCTCTATGCGTATATAGGCCCCGCCCATAAAATCCCTATTATCACATTCCCCGTAATACAGGCACCTTTGGCTGCTCGTGCGTGTTTGGGGGCCTTCTCCCGATCGTTGCCCAGTTCCCTCAATAAAACTGAACTGAACTTGCTTGAGATTCCGTGGTGAAAGGGCTGTAAAGGGTGCTCTACCACCGTCAGCAAGGTGATTGTGGCTGGTGAATGAAAAAAAGAGCGGCCGAAAATTACACAAAAGAACAATAACACAGGCCAGTAATCTACTTCGACTGAATGAAAAGCAGATTATACGAAGATATGCATACACTCTTTGTGACTGTGGCAAGGACGGACAAATTCATTGGCTTCGACTCCGCGTAGGCGGAGCATCGTGTAGTTGGCAGCTGCAACAGCCTCCTTCCGTTGAAGGCATTCACAAAACATGGCCCTCTCCTCAGCATCCGCTTCCGAAAACAGAGAAGACTGTGCGAATCCGCCCTGGCACACATCAATGGTAATTACTGGCTACTTCTTCGTCCCGACGCGTGATCAGCCTGGCGTGCTAGTGACCAGTGCGATGTGTGGTGCAGACGGAAGGTGTGGACGGACTACTGCCTTATCGTGTCCACGATGAGGCCGCAAGTGCAACTCCGCAAGGTGCGACCGAATGTTAACGCTACTGTAGAAACCACACGAAAATAAAATCTGGGACAAATGCAAGTCCTAGATACAGAGTAAGGAGGACATTGTCTCCCGAATCGATGCTGTCGCTGGGTTTTCTCAAGCCTTCGGAAATGACTATGGAACCGACGTGACCTCTCCATCGCCAATAAGATTCGCGTGTATCGTGCATCTGTCCGGTCTGTCCTTCTCTACGGTTGCGAATGCTGGGCTTTGCGCGTGGCGGATGAGCGAAAACTGGAGGTATTTGACCACCACTGCTTGAGGACCATCCTTCGTGTGAAGTTAACCGACTTCGTCTCAAATGAGACAGTCCGCGCTCGCTGCGACAACATCGCGAGGATAACTCAGGCCATCCAAGAAAGACGACTGAGGGGGTTCGGGCATGTTCTTCGTCGTCCACCTCAGGAGCTCGGTGTTACTGCCCTCGATCCGGCACCGTTACCCTATTGGAGGCGTCGAAGAGGGGGTCAGTTCAAAACCAGGCTCGACACAGTTCGTCAAGACATGGAGGTGGTTCTTGGACCTTCAGTAGTCGGTCTACGTCGTTGGCGAAGAGAATGGATTGAGCTGTCCAGAGCTGCTGCCACGGATCGTCACGCGTGGAGAGGTACAGTTTGGGACATCATCGAGGCCGGCTAGATCAGGCATGATCGCGGCCGTATCAAGTACCAGTAAGTAAGTCCTAGAAGTGAGTGAGGACGTTGATGTGGATACCACATGGAAGAAAATATGACACACTGCCTACGTCACTGATGCAGAAGTCCTCTGACGCAAAAACTGTAGTACCAATAGTGGGCCGGTCACAACTATGGAGCAATATACGGCGCCTGTTCAGAGAGAAAAAGACTATAAACGACTTGTGCTAGCAACAATTTCGATGCCAATAGAGCGTTATTCTTCCGACACCAGGGCCTACTACGACATAGCTTGAAGATGCAAAGTTAATGTTAGCTCGCAAAGTCGGAGAAGTCCAAGGATACACAGATCACGCTAAAATGAAAAACGCCTTCGTGGTTATCAAAGTTGTGCATGACTCTCAGATTAAGAGGACTGGATCACCGTACAGCTGAGGTAGCACAACCTTACTGCCGAGGAATTCGCAGCTCCAGAAGCACCGGACAGAGAACTCAAATGGTGCCCTACAAGCTACACAACGGAGCCATTAATAGACTTCCTCAGGGGGATACCAGTACTGATCCCAATCGTCCGCCTCACCCACAGAGGACAGTCAAGGCAGCGGAGGATATGCTGGGCGAAAAAAGTTATGAATATGGCGGTTCCTTACTCGTGGAGAGGCTTACTTTACTGTACCAGGAGAAACGGTGCCAAGGGTAAATCCAACAAGACGCGACTATTATTCATCTGTACAAACGAAAAGGGAACCAGAAAATCTGCAACAACAACAACAACAACGACAACAGCCGCAGAATCCCACTTCTCACCATGGCTGGCGCGAGATTGGCTTGCGTGATACTCAATTGCCTGGTGAGTCGCTTTCACCTCAGCTGTCTCCGGAGAATACTGTGGCTGAAGAGATAGGAAAGGACCACAAACACCGATGTTCTGAAAAGAACCTCAGTCCTTGGTAAATCAGATACAACTACGAAGGAACGATCACGCAAAAGGATGGATACAGAGCGTCCACCCAAGCGAATATTATGCGTCAACGATGCTACAAGTGCTCGCAGACGTGGCAGGCAAAAACGTGGTTACAAAGATACCCTGAAGACCTTCCTCAATCCTCTACAAATCAATCCTGAGACCTGGGAAGACCACCTCCAAGCTAGACTAACATGGCGCACAGTTGCAAAAAGTGTGCTGAACATTTCAAAGTTAAGCTAGTAGCAGAGGCCAAGGGAAGGCGGGAGACCGAGAAGACTCGAGTCTCGCGGACCGACGAGGCAAGCCTCCAAACCCTGCAACCGCATCCGCATTGTCAACGATTATTCAAAGTACTGATTGACACTGTTAGACATCTTCGGACTCAGTTCAATGTCAACGCGTCCAATCCAATGTTCACTTATTAAAATACCATAATCATCTTTCTCGATGCAAACACAGTTTCTGTCTGCCCGCACTGCAACCGCACACATCGGTCTGGTTGGTCACTTGTGAATTCCTCGTGATGCGACCGGAGAACCAGCGTCTGGAGCACCGACATGCAACCGGTACGCAAGCCTTCCTTGATCATACCGTCCAAGGGCATTTAAATACGGCAACGGCCTATTCGGTCGCAAGCATATTCACGAAGACTCGCGATAAAGTAGAATAGCCCCCAGCTGCCATCAAACCACTCTCGGTGCCTGCCGGTCACATGCATACGCAGAAGCAATCGGCGTTTCATCACATGACCTACGCAACAGCTATGTGATGTAATTCGCCGGCTGTTTTGTGACGAACGAAGCGGAATATGCGAGAAAGTGTGCATCTCACTTATACGGGAAGTGTATAATTGAATGAACATTGGCACTGTAGAGTAGAAAGCCAGCAAGTTCGTGGCATGTGTAGACAGTGGCATCGACGCTGTGCCAGCCACTTTGTCTAACCCTGTCAACACTTGACTTGCGAACTCCTGCCTGGCTAAATCAAGGTGGGGAAAAGTCCATCTCTAACGCAACTGCGGCTCACTTGGTTGACAGCGGCCACCAGCGTCAACCAGGCATTCTGAGTCATCTCTAAAGTGCCCGCGAGACACTCCAAGTTCCTGCGTCATCCACGTACAAATCATGGCTGGATCCAGCTAGTGGTAGGTGCCGTTCTTCGCAAAGTTGACACTCTGGAGTCTGCCCTCATGGCAGATCGGCGCATTCCTCACGGCAGAAAACCTGACGTGTTAAGAGTTGTGGCTCGGAAGGCTACCAAATGATGGGGCAATTCTGCCTCTCTCAGGATTGAGTGTTAGGCTGCAATTACTACTGTGAGTGACCCATCTCATGAAATGTTGGCCAAAATTCTGAAATGCATTTTCATTTAGGAAGGATTACTTAGGTGGGGTTGTAATATTGATTATCCCGCGGCATAATCCTATGATATTTCAGACTCGGCAGGATGTCGGATTTTAAATGCACTTCTTTTCAATATCCTGTAGAAACCGCAATCGGCAAAAAAAATAACCACTTAAGTGGCATGCATTTTTCACATTGATTTTCGATGGTCTTATAAATTCAAATATATATTATTGAAAACATGAACAAAAATCTTCTTTCTTTCACTCGTTTCATAGAGAATCGCGTCATCTTCACATTTGATACTCGAAGATGGAGTATAATTAGGTTTTAGAAAAGTTTTCGAATTCCCGAATAATTTGGGGCCTGATCAGCCGTTGCATTAGCGCCTAGTGATTTCATTCTACAGGGTGCATGCGTTCCGCGTAAGGAAAATCATATATCCTTTTATGCCTTTAAAAGGATGTCATATTGAGTCTATGAAATTGTGCAATGGATGCGGACTATGACGTACCTTTCATGAGGAGCAGTGGTAAATGGACAGGTATGATGCTGTATGAATGGACATTGCATGATCTTGAAAAATCTCATAATTGGAAACTTTTTAAAAACCTAATTATACACCTTCTTCGAGTATAAAATGTGAAGATGACGCGATTCTCTATGAAACGAGTGAAAGAAAGAATATTTTTGTTCATGTTTTCAATAAAATATATTTGAATTTATAAGACCATCGAACATCAATGTGAAAAATGCATGCCACTTAAGTGGTTATTTTTTTGTCGAGTACGGTTTCTACAGGACATTGAAAAGAAGTGCATTTCAAAGCCGACATCCTATCGAGTTCGAAATATCATAGGATTATGCCGCGGGATAATTAGTATTACAACCCCACCTAATTAATTAAACGCATTTCAGAATTTTGGCCAACGTTTCATGAGATCGGTCACTCACTGTACTTAAAGTTGTTCTTACGGCACTCTCACTCGTGTAACCTTTGCAGGACTTTAGCATAAGTTAGATACAAACCCTAGTTGAAAACGGCCCAGTGCACGTGCCCTAGACTCCAGATAATGTGTGGCACGTGTAGACGGACTACGTGGCGCTCCAGTCACTGTGTGCACACGCCCAGCCTCGGTTGTTCTTACTTCGTCCTGTCGTCGGACGACGGCGAGTGGTGTGGGAGGAGTGAAGTAGGCGCTACGCAAGTCCGTCTAGTTATGAACAAATCCACGCACAAACCATGGCTGGGTCCAGCTCGTGGTAGATGTCGTTCTTCGCAAAAGTTGGACTATCGTGGACGCGCTTAATTCTTCCAAATGCGGCTAGAGACTGAATACAAATATAGGCCCAAAAAGGTACTTCAAATGAACGGGACTGCGCCGCGACGCATCACCGTACAACGGGCGGCGACAGAACCGAAAAGTCTATTCGAGTCCGTATAAGAAGTCGTAAAAACCCCAGAGGCAACATGAACTCTTACAGCCGTGACTCCAAGGAGTACAAAATGCATTCTCAAGAATAGGCAAAAGGAGAATAAGTGCAACTTATTTTAAGTACAGAGCATAACATGCTTCATTCGTGTAATTAGCCAGCTCCTGTGTTCACGAGGGTTGCTTCGCAGCCCACCAGAAGGCTTGGCTCAAACTAAATGAGGCCATCGCTACGATTCACGAGGAAAGGGAGTGTCGCTAACTGGCACAGCTAAGTGTTCCGACATTACCTCAACGGCAGAACATTCAACACGGATTCTGGAAGTGAGCAGTTCGACTCTGCCCGGCTACACAATACCCGGTTTAGTGATGAAACAAAGTCTAGACGAAAGCCATATGAGACTGTGTGCTTTTGCTTACTGGTTAATTCGACCAAACGTATGAGCAGATTCTAGAAAAAGGAACGGCTATAACGAGCAGGAAATTTCCTTCTCACACTAAGAAAATATATCAAAACTCGTTTTGCAAGGCGATGCGCTTGTGTTTATCAGTTTATTACCATATTAATGTGTCCAGGCGGAGTTGAATTGTGGTCCGTGGCCCTGATTGGATTCGAACCAATAACATGGATAAAGTTTATGTACAGCCAACGTTCTAACCACCTGAGCTGAGGGGTCCCGACAGGGAGCCGTGAGTGTAATCAGGATAGAGCGTTGGATGTGCTCAAGCCCTACCCTTCCTGTCGTGGGTTCGAATCTCACCGATGCCTCCAAGTTCTTCATAAGTAGGTCAAATGAGTGATTATCATATTACAGAGATCTGCTAAAAAGCAGAAACTGCAGTATTTGACAAATTGTACAAACATAGTCCTTCTTGTAATCTACAACCCCTCGGAGAATCAGAACAAAAATAGATCCCTTCCGGTGAACGTCTCTGTTTTCGACATGATACCTGACAGTCGAATTTTCATTACTAGCTACTCAATTTAAAAAGGTAGCGAGGTACGTACAAATAAATGTGCATCGGGTCTTTGGGAGCCGTTGCAATTAGGCAGAGGGGAATTACGAGGGTAGTCTAGTTGCCACGGTCAACCAACAGCTTAAAGTGATTTCGAATCTTTCAAAAACCGCGACTTACGAGGTCCAAGATCTTCCTAAACAGATGGTCTGCATAAAATTCATTCGCAGTACGAGAGTACAAAAGGCCCACAGTTTTTATCCAGTGAGTAGCTGACTCAACGACTGCGCTTCAGTTCATGAGACAGGCGAAAAGTAGGGCGTGCATCATCGAAAAAGGCGCCACTTTACACCCACTAAATTTCTCTTCAGCACGAAGAAGGACTAGTTTCCGAACTTCCTGGACCTGCAAACCACTGAAAGGTGTTACAAAAGCCTGGGTTTCTTTTCTTTTCAGTTTTTGATCAGTCTTCAGCGACAAGGCTAGGCCACGAAGACACGATGGGAGTTGGGCGCACTGGCCGATTGGACGTACTGCGGCAATCTACGCGTGCTACAACGAGCTGACAGTTTAAATTCGAGCGAAACCACATTCTATGTGTAAACAGTTTTGTCCTGTTCCCGATTGTCGACGCTGATTAAAAACGCGGACAGTCTGTCCACCGTCCTGAACGCGGATTGCTAACGCAGTGGGCTAACGAGAAGCGATTTGTGAATTTTTGTAACATAGGACAGCACTCGTCATGACTGAATTGGGCGCTCTACGTTAAGCGTCTACTGTATGGCAAATAATAGTTCTCTAGCGGAGTTGGTCGGTGACAGATTCTCGGGCTGAGTTGTGCCAGCCGGCACACCTGGTAGACCAAAGATCGCAAGGATAAAAGGCGTTCGAGCTCAGTTCTAACCAATCTCACCAGTATATCTTTGATCGGCGACCATGATGTCACTGGCGCTCGGGGTCTGAGATGCCCAGTCGCGCAATTTCGCCATCAGACCGGTGCAGTAGGCAGGCGCAGTTGACGGAGTTATTTTCCTTAACGACGGCCGCCATTAGTTGGGGACTCGGTCAGAGGCGAATTCAGTGAATTTAGAGTTAACAGCATCGGTCGAAAACATCCAGGTAACGTATATCTTAGGAAAGCATGGGCTATGTCTCAAGGTGTCTCGTACACTCACAATTTGGTCCCCAGACTAATTTCACAGCGGGCGCTGAGACTTTTAAGAAGTCGGACAAAGCCCTTATGCACTTGATTGGATCAATAATCTATTTGGTCATTACTCCGTTATTTTGACAGAAAGTTCGACTCAAGACAGCAGAAGCTGGAGATTAGACGGAGAGCTTTACCGTCTGCCGTGAGCGGGCAGATAACTCCAATGTCAAACGTAATAGTGGACTTGCGCAGCATCCACCGCACACTCTCTTTCCCTCCTACCTGGGCCTGGTGTCAAGAGAGAACCAAGAAGACCGGAGCAAAGTTCCTTACATTGCGCAGGTATAAGCACAAGATGGTGTCGGAAGAGTGGCAACTTACGTTGCGACTTGCGTGGACAAACGCAAAAAAAGTCCTGACATAAAACAATACACATGTATGCCCCACAACATCTAGTCTACATTTGTTGTTGATTGGACTCGAGCAAAAAGGGTCGCTTTTGATCTACGTGAACCCTCTGATGCTGGCAGCCAAGGCAGACAGGAAAAATAAGGTGAGATGGACAACTCACAGGTGAAAAGGACCAAACAAACGCGCATCACACGACGATTGATTGATTGTCGTCGGGGCGTTGCTTCCCTATGACATCGAAGCTTCATCATCAGGCGGGAGAAAATGGAGGCAGGAACAAAAAACTGTAGCATATAGCTGGTGAAGATGGCGAAGATGAAAAGCGGCTTCACTAGGGCGTAGGCGCTGGAATAGAAAAAGATGATGAGGGAGTGCTCATTAATTATACACTTGATGAGTAGCGCACGGAGACAGTTCTAAAGTAGTCGATGGAATGCTAAAAGAGGCGGAGGGGTGAGAGAAAGAAGTTCTGGTGCTCTAGGAAGCTGCCATCACTGTCGCCCATCTCTTCTACCTTGTTTGCCTCTAGACCTCAACGGGAACCGGCACTCCTCTATACGGGTAACTTGCACGTGAGTTCATTTATAGTGAAACGCCACATCTCCCTCTCTCGCTCTATACCCGTCCTTTTTCATATGACAGGATACGGACAGAACGGCCGGCGAAGAGTACAGGCATGATAGTGTATAGTGGATTTTAGGGTAATAGGCAATGCCCTTGATGACCCTATTGAAAACGGTACATGTAATATAAATGTCAAACGCACACCTTACTAAAATTTTGCCAGTAACAAATTTGCTTGCTGAAAACGTTTTTACAGTGATGACTAACTAGGTATTCGCGCCCTGTCTACACATGTCACATGTGCTGGCTCCTCACCACACACGCGCATACACATGATTCACTTCATTCACTAGGACATCACATTGCTGAAACGACACACGGAGGCGGCACTGTAAAGTGTCACAAACTGAGTTGTTCAGTCAGTTGGCAAGCCTGCAAGCCGAGGCATTTACGGCGCCATGATGGCCAAACCAGGTCTGACTCAGTACACTAATTCGAGTGTCGGATGCAATAACGTCCACCGCGTGCATCACGGGGTGGGCGCAGCACTTGTGCCTGAATTTGTTTGTAGCGAATCAGGCCTGCGCACCATCGACCGGAATCTCTCTCTCTCTCTATCGCTCTTCACTCGCCCACCTCGCTCCGATGACAAGACAATGTCAACACAACCGTCAACTGGCAACCTTGTAAGCCATGACTTTTAGCGCGGCACGATAGATTCGGGCGCGTCCGATCTATTATAGTGAGAAAGGCAGTAGGTACGCATTCCCCAGTACTGATCTCTCTCTCGTCCATCTCCCATGAACCAGTTGACTGTTTGAGCCCGCCAACCAACTGTTGACGAGTGGCTGACATAGCTAAACTGCCCGTCTACGCGACAAAATGTACCAGACCTGACTCACTACGGAGTAGACACGTCGTGCGGAACCGGTCTCGCTCTCATCTTTCTCCTTATCAAGAGACAGAGGCCAGAATTGGTTAGGCCCATTGTGGATGAGATAGGGCGCGGTGACTGACGGGACATGAACCTCCGTCTCTCGTCCCAGTTTAGGGTTGACACAAACATCACCACGGTCCAGGGCGCTCTGAGCGTTCGATTCCGCAACAAGACAAGCACATATGGACGACGAAAATATTGTGACACAGGTGCCTACTACCAAAAACGATGAACAAGCTACACTTAGGAATCAGAAGACGGAAACCCGTCGTGAATGAGGTATCAACGGCTGGAGGTTTGGATTCCCCTCCTCCACCCGCTCGAACGGCTGTTTCCTCTCTCAAGTGAGCGGGGAAAACCGCCGAAGTTATCCATCTTCACTATCGCCGACATCACTATGGATGCTATCATGCGTTGCATTTCGTACCCCGGGCTTGGAAACATTGTGGCTTCAGCTGCCAAGCAAGAGATTGCGCAAATTGTGCTCGGATGCCAGGACGGTGAAAGCAGAGCAATACGTTCCAGGGGTACGAAGCAGTAGGAGGACGGGGAGGAAGGCTGATAGTGAGTATTGGCAACAGAGGTCAGTCTACCGAAAGAACTGGAACTGAATTCCGTGTTCGACAATGCCGCGTAAACAGACATGTTTGCGGCAACAAACTCTCGATGCGAATACAGCGTTGCTCATAAGCCTGCGGAGTGGAAAGTTTTTAATTCACCCGATCAACGAAGTCCACCTAAACAATAACCATCAAAAAGGAATTTTTCGCTAGTTCACAGTACAAGTTCAAGGTCTCCGGGGGCTTCCCGCATTGTGCTGGCGGCCCTTAGGGCCAAAAACTTTCCGCTAACTGGCCAGCACACCGACCACCACACACGCACTGGATCACGGACGCACGCACGCACTCACGCACACCGACGGGTCGCGGGCGTGAGTGCGCGCATAGACGAGCGCGCGCACAGACTGGAATTTTTTTAACGCGGTCATGGATAGTAATCAGGTGAGCGGATAAACAAATATAAATAATGCTCTGCAGGCCACCGTAGGAAGCTCCAATGCTGGTAGCAGGTTGAAAATTTATGCAACCAGACGATGAGCAACAAAACGACCATAGGGTTGCGAAAATTCCCATTGTAAAATTCAAAAGGCAATTTGGCGAGCATACGTCTGCTTTCGATAAATTCTCTCCAGGCCTGTACATTCATATGGCTATTGAAGTAATGAAGTCAAAGATACGGGCAAGTAGATAATTAAGCCGTAGCTCGAGTTTGGGGAGGGGAGGGGGAGAGTGAAGCACCACAATTCCAGTCAGCGTCAGGGAGAAGGTGAGTCCCGGCGTAGGTAATTACATACGGGTGGCTGGCTTGGCGGCTTTGAGCCATGGCAGCTGTGGGACCTGTATGAAGTTCTTCTGTGCGCATAGGACCGGTCCGCGTAGCCTGATTGCAGCCGCCGTAGTGAGAGGAAGTAATTATGGATCGTGCGGTACTCGGCGGTTAACCCCACTTGACGCTTAGACTATTGTCTAAGTTCAGCGAATATTCCCATGTTGCAATTGAAAAGTCAAATTGGCGAACACGTGTTTTCAGTAACTCTTCATCAGGCCAAAACGGTTACAATGAAGTTTAAGTTATGCGAATTACATGACTTATAAATGATTCGGGACAATTAACATCGATCGTTCCCACGCCACTCGCATGACGAGGCGTGCTATGGCGTGGTCGGCGTGTCGTGGTAATTGGGTTCGGGGGGCGAGGAGGAGGGGGGGCATAGGCTGTGAGTGCGTCGTGTACCTTGTGCACCCACCCTGGCGTCAGGAGGTTGGAGCGACGTTGTGGTCGACTATTATTGAGAAACTCACAAGCAGGCAGCAGTGGGTCAGTACGAGGGGAACACTGCAACATTATGTTTGATTCCTCCCTCTCCAAAGCAAAGCGAAGAGTAAGCTCGTAAAGTGCTGTCCTCGTCTGTGTCAACCAATAACTTGGCGCGAAGCAAGCCACTCAACAGGGTTTTTTTTCTACCAGAACAGTACGGTGAAGTAGAGTGTCGAACGCAGAGCTGATGCAATAGCGCTGGCAGCTGGGAACGAATACCAGATCTGGACGAGACGTTCGCGAAACAAACCGTCTGTGCTTGTATGTGGCCTGGTGAGTACTACCGCTTGTTCCGTCGGTTCGAGAAGCCGCTGCCTCACGGCCTGACGACCAGGCGCTCGAGTTGTTGTCCAGCTAGAGTTCTAGTCTTGAATTCTGTGAACTGTCGGGTTAGGTATTCCCATCAATTCTGACTTAAACGCATCTGTTTACTCGTCGCCTTGACTACCACCACGGCAACCGCGTTAGCCTGGATAGGAGATTGTGCAGACACGGCCATAAACAAATTCACACTAAGGTCAACGAAATGTAACACTTTTCAACAAAGCAAGACGGTTCTCAACATTCGATGCATTGAAACTCCAGTGGCAGTATAGTGTCAGAGCGACCAGAAGTGGGTTCAGTGGTCTGACAAAGCTAAACTGCCCGTCTATGCGTCGCACACATGCCTGGCCCCACTGCACGTACCCGGCTTTCTGTGGAGGGCGCCTCGGATCTCACATGCGTGAGTGCGTCATAAGGGCCACATTAAGAAGGAGACACTGCAGCCTCCTTACTTTCAGTCCTGAGAGAAGGGTCGAGATAGCCCGTGAGCTAGCAACATTCTAAGTCACAACTTTTAGAGTGGGATGACAGAGTCAGGAGGCGTAAGATTTATTATTAGTGAGAAGTACACTGATGTGCCGTGGAGGATGGATTCCCCAGTGTCGATCTCTCCCATGCGCCAGTCGACTGCCCGACCATGTCAACCGACTGGTGTTGGCACGGGCGCAGCGGATGATGCGGTGTGTGACCACCTCCCCCCCATGCACGGCAATAGTTATGGGCTAGCGCGGACTCTGCGACGCCTGATCGGGCGGGTCGTGGGCCGAACTGACCCTCGTTTCGCTCCGGCGCTTCTGCGGCGTGGCTCATTGTGGGGGGGGGGGGGGGCACACTCGAATAATCCCACACGCGCGCCACTGAAGTAGACCTGAAATACAGTAGGTGGGCTAACTCATGAAATGTCAACCGAAATTCCGAAATGCGTTTTCGTTTCGAAAAGATTAATTAAGTAGGGTTGCAAAACTAGTCAGCCTGCAATATAATTCTATAATAATTTAGTTACCTCAGGATGTCGGCTTTCGAAAGAACTTCAATCCGCCTGCATGCAAAAACTAAACTCTGTAAAAAATGACTACTTAAGTAGCATGATTTTTTCGCGTTGACTTTCGACGCCCCTATAAGTCCAATTATATTTTATGGAAAGCATGCATAAAATATTCATTCTTCCACTCATTGGCCAGAAAATTATGTTTTCTTCCAATTTTATACTCGAATGGGGGACATAATTCGATTTTCAAAGTTTTCCAATTCCCGAATAATTTTGAACCCGCTGTGCCGTCACACTTGCATTCAGGGGTTCCAAACTACAAGCCGTATATTTTCCGCGTACGGAAAACCATACATTTCTTTACGGTACTAAGAGGAGACCATACAGAATTCATAAAATTAAGCAGTGGATTTGATCCATTTTGTTAACTTTACAAGCCACACTGGTAAATGCAGAGATATGACGATTTATGAACGGCCATGTCACGGCATTTAAAAGTCCCACAGTTAGAACCTTTTTAAAACCGAATGCTGTCCCTCCTTCAAGTATAAAATCAGAAGAAGACGCAAGTAGCTACCGAATGAGCAAAAGAATGAATATTTTTATTGATGTTTTACATGAAATATAATTGGAGTTTGAGGAGCATCGAAAATCAATGAGAAAAATTCATGCTACTTAAGTAGTCATCGTTCAGAGTGTGGTTTTTGCATGCAGGCGGAAGGAAGTTCATTCGAAAGCCGGCATCTTGAGGTAACTAAATTATTATAGAATTATATTGCAGGCTGACTAGTTTTGCAACCCTACTAAATTAATCTTTACGAAACGAAAACGCATTTCGGAATTTACGTTGACATTTCATGAGTTAGCCCACCGACTGTACAATGGACACTCATAGAACTCGGGTTCTTCTTGTGCAAATCTCAGGTAGCCAGTTGGTCGAAAGTCGGCAATGTCTTTACCACAAGTAAAGAGAAGGCACGTTGTCCTAGATTCCTAATCATCGTCACGGGTAACGTGCTCACATCACAGTAGGTAATAACAGCTTTTTTCCTGTGCCGAGGGATGCTACTCCAGATGGCAGCTCGACCGTCGTCACCGAGGATGTCCACCGTGTGCTCCACAGAAGGGTGAACGTAGGGACAGTGACTCCCGCGTCAGTGGCAATAGATTTGCGCAGCATCTGCTACATCTTCTCCTCCCTCGACCACCTGAGCCCGGCGTCAAGAGGGAGTTAAGGAGGCCAGATGCGCTTGCCTTTCCCTACCTGTTCCTCATACTTGAACTTACTGGTTGTTTAACTGAATGGAACAACACAACGCGACGCGCTCGGCATCTGTTGGATTGTCAGGTCGTTTGACTTTCGATTGTTAATTCTTTCATAACTCTGGTCTTATCCTGATATCCATAGTCTGTGATTGACGGTTCTGTCCTTAGCGCTCGCGACAGTGCCATCGGGCACAATGACTGACAAAGCGAAACTATCTGTCAACGCGTGCAACACGCGCGCGGTCTGTACACGGTACCTGATTTAGTAACTTTGAGACTTTTCGGACTACTAAGACGCGTTCCGGAAACCAAAGTTAACCGCAGGCAGCAAACACATAGAACAGGCGAAAAAAGTGTGGGGTGGGGGAAGACGTACACAGGAGAATTTGGAATGTTGTAGGTGATGCTGCTAAGAGTGTCCTCGCCGAAACGTAGGTAGCCGAAGAACCCCAACAAGGCGCAAAGCGAGATAACGATGACCATGGCCATGTTGAGGACACCGAAGGGCAGCACAAACTTGTGTGGGTTGATCATCCGGTTGCGAATCGGTAGTGTCTAGGTGAGGAGGGTGTAGAATTCTTTGTGGATTGAGTTACGCGTAGAAGTCAAAACAATTTTCGGTGTATATACGTTACTATTGATAGAATAAGGTAATAAAACGTACAAACCTCAACAATGGATACCCTAGACAAAGAATTCCTTTGTTACTGTTTGAGCAAATCGAATTCCCAGCTCAAGGTCAGAATACAAAACTAGTTAATTAAAAGAAAGCCGATCACGCTCGAGAGAGGGTTACAAAAGGGGGGAAGGGGAACGTCGACAGGGGCCAAATGTGGATGCACTTGCGAGGAGGGCGTGGAGAATTCCAAGCGTTGACCAGCTGGAGACAACAGAGGGTGATGACGGTGAAGGGCTAGTAAATTATGACAGAGCGCGCAATTTAAGCGAATACTAGTGAACTACTAGTCAAACTTGTCAGTAAGTAGTTAAACAGCTTCGTACGGCGCGGAGCGAGTGGAAACCAGGAAAAAAAGAAATTACGAAAAATAATCTGACAAAAAGTATGGCTGACTGCGTCTCCAGTCAAAGGAGAAGAGGTCATAAAGGCATGCGCGAATCCGGCCCTACAGACAGAGGAACTAAGTGAAACTTCAATGAATAATATTAGGTTAACTCGATGTCTCAGAAGTATGGATTATTTCTCGAGGTAAACATGTCGCCGCCCACACACCCCAGAATCCCCAGGGAGGGCGGACACGCGGTCCGACTGGCAGAAAATCTAGCAAAACAATCAACTGAGCCAGGGATAGCAGAGACTAATGATCAATACTGTACTGTTTCTAATTTATATTTTTCACACCGTGACAGGACCAGAGGCGGGATCAGGCGCAGGCACTTGGTGCGACGAGGGCCTGCGTGTAGGCGTACCGACACACACCCAATTCTCCGTACCGTGATATGACCTTCGTGTTGGTCCAACACAACTCCCGCGGGGCCCGCTATGAGAGGCATTTCGTTACCTAATCAAACGCCGAATAGCAGATCGTCCAGTTGTGCACGGGCTTGTTTGAAATCTCGAGAACCAGTGGTCATTGTTTGCGAAATATAAAACATAAGATGCTCTTCAGTGCACGGCTACATGCTTATCCTATTTACTTTAAAAAGGGAAGATGCCGATTCACAAGTTGTACTTTTGGGTTAACTTATATAAAGATATCCTGGCACTTTTCATGACTGTTCCCTGAAATTAACTACATGCAAGTCCCCTGTGCAACGAAAAAGGACCTTTATCTGATTATCGTGTGAAAATCCTGTCGAAAAATTACTCTACTTATTCTTACTTGCGCAAAGCGCAGAATATAGCAGAAAGAATTCATAACTTTAACATATAGGGTGCCTACACGCCATTGTGAGATTTTTCCTTCAGTTGCAGAAATTTTATGAGCACATCCTTGTTCTAGGCCAAGCAGGTCAAGAGACGACCTCTTGCGAATCCTACCATGGCTAGTGGACTTAATGTGGACAAGGTCTATCTCTGGATGCAGGAGTCAGTAGCAGAGGTCTTGAGCAGCAACCAGTACTCCAATAAGCTGGCAGAGATAATCAGATAAGGACGAAAACAGACGGATTTCGGGTGAACACTGCAGAGCAAAGGGGTGTTGTAAGTTATTAAAGCACGTGAGGGTAACCTTTGCCTTACGTACAGAGAACCAAAGTGGCCTGTTGTCGAACAATGGGCAGTTTCTACGTCTTATACATTCCTCTGTATTCCAAAAAGTAGGGATAGTTGTATTTTCCACTTAGACATAACTATCTTCGTATGGTTTATATATGCTAAACGTCGAAACTAACTACAAGCTGGATGAAATCCTTAAAGCTGTGTTCAAATGTTGAACACTACTTATATACAGTTACAAGGCTGGTAACCAAGGAAGGTGTGGTCAAATAAGGTTCCGAAATTACTACAAAAAAGCACACAACAGGACTTTTCGACGTAATTCTAAACATGCATGTCAGCTTTTGATAGATAACTTTGCAAATCACCTAAGGTGATGCCTTCCCGTAAAGCATTCCCGGATCGCTAATATTCCTATAAGGCCGACCAGGTTCTTTAAACAGTTTGGAAATTCGTCCCTTTGCAGAAAATTAAATCGGCGTAAAAAACAGTACCCCAAAAATGCAATATTTAATTTTCTACAAAAAATCACCAGCTAGCGGCCACTACCTTCGAATACACGTTCAACCATATATCCGCAGGCGGCTTTAGGCCTCTTCGCGAAACATACCGTGTGCTAAAACCATTTAAAGTCACCCACTTAGGCCAATGAAGAATGAGGGAGTAATTTATTTTGACCCGACTATGAAAAATCGGCGACCTAGGTGGGATTTGAACCCACAACAAAAAGGAGAAAGTTTGAGTACAGTCGACGCTCTAGACACCTAAGGTACGAGGCCCCACCCAGAGCCTCGTAAGTTTCATCACATCTGAAACATGCTGCCCGCCCAGCCTACTGTAACGCATGAAATCTAACAGATCTGATACAGGTCCAGGGATTGACGGCTTGAGTAAGACGCATCTGCTCACCTGAAGCTATTGAGGAGGAACTTCAACAGCTGCGGAACACACTTCGGGAGAACGGATACCCAGATTGATTTATCCTCCGAAATATTAGGGAACGCGTTGAAAAGCCCACTGTTGCGACTGCGGAAAAGAAAGATGTATTCATAAGATTGCCTTTTAGAGGAGACGCAGAGAGTGAACTAGTCCGACGGCGCTTAACTACAGCTATCACGAGGGCATTCCCTGCGGCGAATTTACGCGTATGCTTCACAAACTCTCCCCTCCTACGTTTGGGAGGTAAAGACAGACTACCGTTGGAGGCCACATCGATGTGCATTTATTCATTCACTTGCTCCTGTGGAGCAGGATACATCGGCCGCATAACGAGACGCCTGGTAAAGAGGGTGCGTGAACATATGCCCGCCTGGCTAGACAGAGGTGAGACCCGGTCGATTTCGAGTTCTATTCTCACACATTTAATCGATACGAACCACCGAGTCGATGCCAAGAAAGCATTTCAGGTTGTCTACCGGACACCAACATGCTTCTCTAAAGGCCTACGCCAACAGATATTAGCAACGGCCGAGGCAGTAGCGATACGGTTAGTGAATCCGGTGTTATGCTGTCAGAAAACTCTGACACAAGCGCTTTCGCTGCCGCGGCCAACGCCAACCCCAAGTGATGAAGCCATGCCGCCTCAAATCCCTAATCAGGATGATGGGTACTCCGTGTACTCAACCCAAGAACATTACTCAAAGACTCTCTTACCCCCCTCCCCTAGCTCTGACGACTAACACCCGCCGACCTTCTCATGCGGGCGGCGTGGGGATGATGAGTGTTAGTGACTTAATAGCCCTTGAGGCATCTATAAACACTATTGATTTTGTACATTTTCTTTCGTTCATGTAATTGCATTGGCCTGAGGAAGAATTACCGAAAACGTGCGTTCGCCAACTTGACTTTTCAAATCTGATACAGTAAGCCGACTGCCCAGGCAGGACTTCCTAAGTGATCAGTCCAGAATCTACCAGATGACTGCCAGGCTAACGTAGTCGCAATCAAACTCACGGTTCCCGGTAGGTGGCCGGAGTGGTGGCTGTGGGTTCGAATCTCACCGAGGTCGCCAAGTTTTTCACAGTTGGGTCAAAATAAATTATTAAGATCTGCCAAAAACACCTATTAATAAGTAAGTAATTAACGGGTACGTTGTTTTTTTCGGTGGAGATCTGAACAAGCATGTTTGAATTGCATGTCTCATACTGTCTTCCTCAAATTAGCTGATGGATTATTAAAGTGCTTACGGCGAACGTGTCCACTAATCAATCTGGAAAGGCAAGACACATGTAAAAGCGCGACCAGAACTGCAGAAAACACGGAAATCTAAATCAAGACAGGTCGTGTTTTCAAATAAAATCTAGCAGTCACAGATGGGGACGTTTCCTATCCCTTCTGAAGAACGTATTCAATTCCTACAAAAGTCGAAGGGTATAGATTACGCAAGTAGTGCCTCTTGGAATGAGACCGTCGTCTGGGCGGGAAGATGTTCAGTGACAAGCCAGAATATCACCCGATGTTATTTTCTGTGCCTATTAATATCAGCTAAAACCTAAAAGCATATTCAAGAAAAATATGAAGTACGTGCTGGGTTCTAACGCCCACGTACTTGTGTTAGCAATCTCATCAGTGCACCATTTGACTATTTTGACACATTATCATCCCTAATGGCCTTATTTTAAGGGGATCCAAAGTGCCCACATTGAGGACGGGTTCTTGTAGAGTAACAGATTAGCAGGTGTATGAAAGACGTAGGCGTGGCCTAGGCCCAACACCTACAGCAACTGGACACCGCTCTGGTTCAGACTCTGATTGGCCAAGCGACTGAGTGGATGTGTGGCGAGGGGGAGAAAAAAGAGAGAGAGAGAGAGAGAGAGAGAGAGAGAGAGAGGGGGAGAGAGAGGGAGAGGCGGATGCTGCTCATGGGACCACAGCGCCATCGAGACAACGGCAAGCAACCTATTGTCTTATAAATTTTCACGTTGCCCCCTTGCGTTCTCGCCGACTGTGTTGCACTTATTTGTCCTCCCAATGTTCAACGAGGAGCAGGATTAAGCCTTTTTTATTCCGATTTTGGAGTTCCAACCAAAGTCGATGGTGGATAACTGACTGAGCTTTGAAACCCACATGTGAGCGACTGTTTGCTTGCATGGAAATGTGTCACTGGCTGTGTCTGCCTGGCCTCCAACTACGGAGCACGGGAGCGAGGGCGTAAACTTCCGGGGAGAGCATTGATTTGGTTCAAGTTACGATGTGCGTGTGTGTGTGTGTGCACATATAGCAGCATGAGTTGAATGTCCAACGCTGCCTCGTGACATTCGAAGGGACTAGGCGGCGCGTGCTTAGGTCAGCAGTCATACTCGTGGCAGCACGAAGGTTCTGAAGACCCGGTCACTGTTTGTCCCCTCCTCGTCAACTGAGACGGGACCTCTTCCATTGTTCCTTCACGCGAATTAGCAGCGCAGTCTACTGGATACGTTTCCACCGCCTTGAGAAGGAAATACCAAAGATGACGCCTCGCTTAGACGGTGGAATCTGCATCTTTCGCTTGAACTGGAGTATTATGTTTCGAAATGCCTACAGGGATTCTTTTGCATTCAAAATAAGTGCTTACTGTCTCCTTGGTCTCTCAATTGGGCTATGATCCCATTTTCTGCGTCACTGGAAGAGGCCAAAAGTGGGATGGATGGCAAATGTCCTGTCACAGTGTGAAAAATATAGGTTGATCATTAGTCCCTGCACCCACCACAGTAAGGGCGCCCAGTAAGGACGCGCATTCGGTCCGCGCCAACGCAGTTGTGAGCACTGATAAACAGCAGCCCCCCCGGACTTCGGATAAACTAGCCCGAACCTACTTTCTTGTGGTACCCTTCGCTTCAGATGGGCAAATTAACCCCATACGACAAACAATCCACAAAATCCTACAATGGGAGTCCTTAGGAAGGACCACAGAAACACAGCGTATTTTACGCAAAGCCAGCTTCGAAACTACAAAAAGGGGGAAAACCAGCAAGATTATATGAAGCACCCTAAACTTCCAATGAGGCATGAAGTCACTAAATATAAGTGTCACAATACGGGTCCGCAGCGGCTGAAAATGCAGAACAGGTAAAACCCCCTAGGACAATACGCTCGGTGCTGAGGTGTCAACTGCTAGCGGTCAAACCGAATCCGCTGATGGGGATCATTGAAATGATTCGCATACATACTAGTAGGTTTGTTTAGATAAGACCTTTCATTACACAGGCTGTTTGTTAGCAAAACACTTGCAGTTAGACAATTTGGCGGTTTTGTGACATAAGTTCACCGGAGAACAGACGTGGTTGCAGAGCTCTAGGTCGATGGCCTCAGTGGGTTTTCTCAGGGGCCGATATTTTGAGAACTCAAAAGCACTCGGGTGGATAAAATAGGCCGAACCCACGACACATTTATAATATACAGGTCCCAAGGAAAGATCCTGGTGGATAATCTACTGCCTGTGATACAGTTCCCAAACGTTTGCAAGCAGACATTTGCACAAGACTTCGGCGTTAATCATGCTGGTTTGGCGCTCCCGGCTAATTTGAGTTTGACATCGCAGGCGAGCAAAAGTAACTCTTGCGTTAGCGAGTGTCCAGTGACTGGGCGACAGAGAAGCAGTCTCAACTAATCTTAATACTAAAGACAGGGGTCGATCAACTCTTGTAAAGACCCCCCTGACACACCAGGCATTGAGGTAACAAAGCGACAAACGAGTCAAAGTGAATGTACCGGGGTTAAAAAAAGGGGCGGATAACGCGAATTGAAAAGGTGACGATACAGTTGCTGGCCTATCTCATGAAACGCTCACCGAAATTCTGAAATCTGTTATCGATAAGAAAGAATTACTTGAGAAGGGTTGTAATATTTATCACTGTGCAGCCTAGTCCTAACGTAGTTTAGTCACGCCAGGATGCAGATTTTTTGAATGATCTATATTCCAGCCGGCTGGGAAAATCCCACTCGATACAAAACGACTGCCTAGGTGGCATGCATCTTTCTCATCGACTTTTGATACCTCTGAAGAGCCAGAAATGGCCATTCCAGTCTCCCTTGTCCTTTTCAGTAATGCCATTCTGCCTATATCATGCGTCGCCGTGCGATTGCTGGTTGGGCTCGAGAGAGAGAGGGCCCTAAGGTATAACGGGACGAGTGAGTTCCGTAAAAACGATCAGTGAGCGCCCCTCTAACAGATGTATTTATGAAATGGTACCGACAAAGACAAGGGAGACCGGAATGTCCATTTCTGGCTTATTAGCCGTCATCAGCCAGTCATACTCAACGGAGCAAGCAAGTTCCGTAACCTGATCGGTGAGCGCCCATATGTGATGATTGATATTCCCGATCACAACCGACAGGACAACGGGTCAGTGGCTCAATGGTACAGTGTCAAACTCTATGACCAAAGATTCCGGGTTCTAATCCCAAGCGGTCCACACTTGAGGTTGGATATGACTGACGGATGACGGTTAATAGGACAGAAATGGTCATTCCGATCTCCCTTATCTTTGTCGGTACCATGTCGTTTACTTATACTACTATTGCTACTGCCACTACTACTACTAGTAGCTATGTGACTGCTTCCGAGGGTTCTAGTATGGGCCCCGAGGCACAACGGAACAAGCATGTTCTGTAATCTGATCGGCGAGCGCCCATCTGTCATGATATACATATATATTATAGAAAGCACGTGTAGAAATATTTTTTATGCACTCAGTTGGCAGCAAATTACATCTTCGAAATACACACTCAAGGAAAGGATGTTATTTGGTTTTTATTATGTTTGTAATTACGATATTTTAAAGAGCGTGAATTATTCATTCATAAAAGCAGCGTATCTGTCCATTTCTCAATGTTGCAAAATTTAATGATCTTTACGTGACGTCTTCCTAATAGCGTAAAGGAACGTATAATTCCCCTTACACGGAAAGTAAACTGCATGTAATTTGGAAACCCTAAGCGCGAGTTCAACTGCAAGTTGGGTTCAGAATCATTCAGGAATTGAAAACTTTTCATGTCCCAAAGATACCCTTTCTTTGAGTATAAAATGTGAAGACGTAATTTACAATGAGAACAGCTTAGCACAGAACCTTTTTGCATGCCTTTATAGAAAATATTTGAACACGTAAGGGTGTCGAAAATCAATGAAGAAGATTCATACAGCTTAAATAGTCATTTTATACCGAGCATGGCTTTTGCAGTCGGTCGGAAAGAATCTCATTGAGAAGCCGGCATTCTGACGTAAATGAAATACTTTGAGATTATGCTGCATGATAATCATTAATAAAACCCCGTCCACTGTTCGCGACTTATCACAAGGAAGGTCACGATCTTCGTAGAAAACTTCTTGTAATGCACTAGTCGTCCACCCCACGTCCACGAAAGTTACACTGCGTTTAAAAAACGACCGTTCTTCAAAAGAAGGCATAGCTTGGTTCATAAAGCCTTACTTATTAAATAGAAGATAATTTGTGTTCTCGAAAATCACCAAATCAATTTGTTACGGTCTAATACATATGGAAAATAATTGAAAACAATGACAAATATAACGCATCAGTAATTTGTTGACTGTCCTTTCTAACATAAAACACATTTCAGTATTCCGGCTGGTAGTTCATGGGATAGATCAGCTACTATACTAACGTAGGCATTCATATCAGGAAGGGATCGGAGCTTGTCGTGGCCGATAGTCATTAGCCCGTTATTGTTAATGTCGCTAGTTACGACCTCAGGACTGGAAGTTGCAAAAAAACACTAAATATGTGCAGTGGATGCTTGGGTCCCAACATATACAACGTCCTCGGATCACCGAGAGAAGCCTGAAATGGAAGCATCAAATTTAAAAGGTCGTGTTTGAAATGCCTGTCATTCGTCTGAAACGTTTTGCATTACGAAAATCTGCAGACTCACGAGACTGATTCCCTCGAAGGTGAAGATGAATATTCCCAGTGAGATTAGGGTTTCGCCGAACGGTTTGTACCAAGGCAGGGTGTACGGGTCCATGAGACCCGTAGACAGCAAGTAAGAGAAAATTAGCACTATGCCGACCACCGTAACTCCGATAGCAACCGCAGACATCGCCGCAAAGACTCGCATGTTTGTTATTTGACTGAGTGGCAGCAGTGCGAGCGTTACGATGAAGCCGATGAGAAAGATATTTGCATCGTGGTTGGGAGCAACGACTCTGATGAACTGAAATGGTGAAAAAGTAAACCAGTCAATTCAGAAACTATAATTAATTCATCCGAAATTAATGCACAGAAAGGACAGTTCTCTGAAGACCCGGTTCAAAAGTTTGCGTAAAACTTTACGCTTAATGCTGTCAACTTCAGTGTAAATAACTGTGCAACTTTCTAGCTTTTGATCCAGTAACAGTATAATTCATGTACAATAAGCAATTTGTATAACTGTTACCACAAGTATCGGTTAAAAATCCAGACAAGTGTATCATCGACTTTCTACTATTTTGACGCGACAGCAAGGAACTCTGATAGTGGGACCTAGAGAGTTTTCGATGCAACTCTGGTCATAAACTCCACTTTTGCATGTGAACTGTGGCCAAAGACATAAAGATCTAAACCACTGATCGGCCTAAATGGCATAGATGACGGAGGATAAGGAGGGAAGAGGGACGTACGGGAGGGCAGTGAGTTTCGGAAGACAAACGTCACTAATTACTTGCTGCTAGTTGCCATACAACCGCCTGTGTGTTGCAGATCGTCAGCTACAAAAAACGCCCACTCCAGTCTAGAAGCCAGGATAGATAGGGCCATGCTAATCTCGTGTGACGTTGAGTATTGTCGATATTGGCCGACATGAACTGGCTCGTAGCTTAGGGGTCAGGACATCGCTCGATGGTGTGCAGCCTGGGGTTGGAATATCACCAGCTAAAATTAGAACGAGTCGGAAGTTGCCATTAAACGTCTCGATGCGATTAAACGACAGAATTACGATGGATGAGAGTTCTTTTAAATCTTTCGTAAAGGAGACTATCTACATAAACGTTGCCTATAACCAGGTCAGACTCTCCAAATGTATGGATCATTTCACTAGTTAGTCTTCCTACCGGTTGCATCAGATAAAACCAGACTAACGCAAATTCAGCCATTTGTAAAATAACAGATTACGAAGGCTTTCCGTTGGCATGGTTATGAAATCTTGCATGCAAGCTGGTCCTTAAGCTCTTATGTATATCTTCCCTGTGTTAAATGAAAGCCCACAATGTAGGGAACGGGACCAGTCGGACAGAATGGCCGAACAACCTATCAGCAGCGGCTGAATTCCCATCGACGGCGAGGGTGGGGAATTTCGAGAGGTGGTCGAGTGAAATATGTTTTGGTTAAGCAATAACGAACGCGGAAGCGAGCGCAAACACGGTGTAAGGTATAATTTTTTAAAAATCATGGTAATCAGCGACCGAATACAGTGCCAGTTGCGGGTTTATAGAGTTTAAATAATGTTCGGAACGGGAATTAAAGAGAAAGAACGCTCGCTTAAAAAAATTCGTAGTTTGCAGCTAGGTACAAATGGGCAAAAAATCACGCAGGTAGTTTCTTTGCAAAATTCTTCTCAAATGACGTTTCAGTAATTTCGAGTCGTCGTAAAGGTGACCTAACTAATGTCAAAATCTGCGACACCAACGGAGACCAAACTCGCGAACACATTGTGTACGCAAGAGCATATGCATTATAAAAAGATACCACGAGTTTGGCTTAGCCATGAGAATCTTTGGCAAGAGTAATGATAAGTGAGAGTACACAAAACATTCCCTCAGAAGTAGGTAATGAAGAAAAAAGACAGTAAATTGTGAGGAAAAAATACAGAGGAAAAACAAACTTACATATTCGATATTCTCCGATATAAAAAGGATGTATATGCAACAAAACCCAACCTGGGTCAGCAATAGAAATCCGTTTACTAAATGCCTAAAATCTTTGTTAGGGCAGAAGGCTATGGCCTTACTTAAATTTCCCTTTATATTTCCTCAAGCTTTGTGGGCCATATTTGAAAACTATAAATACAGTTTCTGTGTAGTCCATTGTTGAACGGTCAAGCTCGTGACTGAAAAAAATTATAGAATCTAGAATGCTTACCGCATAATGACGGAGTCGGCAGTTCTTAAAAGTACGTGCATCAGGTAACTCGACAAGCAACCATAGAAAAGTAACAAAAACAGGCCCATCCACAAGCCTGAATACTTAAATGCCACAGGTAGGGCTAGAATTCCGGTTCCTATGTTGCCCTTTATAAAGTTCATTAGCGCAGACGCAGAACTATTACATAAATATAAACATATTATTACGGTAAACCTTGTGTTTTTCCTTAATTTGGAAAAATCCTCTGGTTCAAGCATGTGCTCAGACGCAGCGTCATATTGCAAAGGGTTTGCAGAACCCGCTCCTGGCTGGTTATCTACTGCGGAGGGAGTTGCGGTTCCATAGGTGCCGGTATCGTCACCAAGCAGAGCACTCTCATCCACCGTCATTTTTGCGTAAAACTATGAAAGTGAATAACCGACACCTTTCGCGGAATGATTCTGCTGCTATCAGGGGATTGGTCGAAAACTTTCACGTGAGTTGCGATGTCGTTTTGGTCTCTTGTTGATTTGAAGTTCAACGAAATTGTGCTTGAGGGATATTTTCAGTCACTGATGGACCTGGAGGATGTCATAAAGAAATTTATACAAGTAAGAAATATCAAGATAAGTGCATTTTAGACAACCGACTACCATAACAAGGCAAGTAGCGTTTACTTGTTTTTATTAAAGTGGCTCACAGAAATAGGGACAAAATCACAGTGAAGTCTCCTTAAATGGTACACATCCATTACGCTATGCCAACTGAAAAGGTCGAAGTGGCAGGAATTTTCAAGGAACATGATCTATAGGACTTTTGTAGGCCAAGTGACAACTGTCACTTGAGAACTGGAGAACTGATTCTACATAATTATATTTTCGCTACCACTCCCTGGCGTGTATTCTGTAGCACAAAAGCAGGCATTTGTCCTGCGTTCCCATTTTAGGTGGCATATGCAGAATGGCATATTAAACAGCTACGAATATCTGATGTCCGGTGTAGGGGATTATGAAAACCCTGCTAATACATGGCCACTAATAAGGGGCGGCCACGAAGGGGTTAAACGGGACGTGTAACATCCAAGTTTATGTGGCCTTCCGGATTTTTGCTGAATAAATTCCGTGTTTCAATCATTGCATCTAACAGATAACAAAAGTTCTATTAAGACCAAAATTCACTTTGACCCAACAGTGAATGACAAAAATGTACAAGATTACCCCTAGAGAATCTCCATATTATAAAATATAATAATGTTAATAATTTTTTATTCAATATTCACGGGAGTCCGGCCATAGCAATTCAGGGTATATTTTACATGAATTTTCCCTGCGAGCGCCAGCCGCGGCTGCCAACGCCTTGCCGCTGCGGCAAGACGTGGTTACGACGAGGCTAAACGTGGCCATTTCGTGTGACTAAGGCGTGGCCTTCGACACCACAGCCACGTTTGGCCACACCATTCGAAAAAATGCTTGGCGGTGCCCCCCATTCTCCATTCGTCCCTCCACCCTTTTATGGCCACCGTTTTTTTTACTGGCGAGTGCACTCATTCGAAACTGACGGCTGTCGTAGTAAGATTACATTTGTCACTGAATCCTCCCAGCCTCGGCTAAGGCAAATCAGTAAAAAACACCCCCCCGTTTGCGCACAACTCGACAACATATGGTTCTCCGCATTCTTAATTCGTTCCCCGCCCCTTTTGGCTCCCGTTTTTTACTGGCGAGTGCACTCATTCTAAACTGGCGGCTGTCGTAGTAAGATTACATTTGTCACTGAATCCTCCTAGCTTCGGCTAAAGCAAATCAGCGATAAACATCCCGCGTAAGTGCACAACCGGACAATCTAGATAGCGTTCACTCTATCCCACGACATAGGGCAGTGGACAGACAATGGTTAGAAACGACGGTTTATTGAGTATTTGTAAATGAGAAATGCGTAGGAAAAATAAAGTAGGGATGTAATTCTCCAATGGACATTAAACGCTTTCCACTGGTTATCGGCGGTTCCTGCAAAAAAAAGAACTGAGGTAAAACATGGGTGATGCTTTTGTCATTGAAGTAATCCATAATTTTAATAGAAGGAGAAATGCAATTCCTAGGTTGCGTGTCATAAGGAGGCTTCCTTCGGGGCAGACCAGACGCGGGTCTGGCGTTCCGAGTGGCGAACTCGTCTACCCGTCCCCAGACACTGGAAAGTTACGAACACAGTTCTATGTACATGATCCTAATTGACTTCCTGTGGGGCTACACCGGATTCGCATTTAAATGTGACTTGTTTGGCCTCCCTCCCCTCGTTGACTACGGAGATGATTGGCGGCCCCAATGGTCCCACGTCATAACTGCCTCGTGCGAAGAAACTTCATAAAAGCAAATTGGGGACAAGCTACTTGGTGCAGCTGTTGATTGAGCTATCGGTGGAAAGACGCCTCGGCCAACAATCTCAGGGCTGATGCAGAGAAGCCCGGATGTCCTCCGCCAAATTAATTGATTTGCCTGTATTCGGTTTTACGAACCACCTTGGCAGGAGGCAGCGACGACGCTAATTATCTACGCGGTCAACCAGGGCGGGCGCGGCACTGGTCACAGTAAAATACGGATCTGACGCAGACCCGAAACCGGTCAACGAGGGCCGGGTAAAGTGTGCTGTCTCACTTTTCGAACTCAAGAGATAGGTAGGCGGATTTACTACTTCTGCGAACGTCATACCTCAAGCAGACATCATCCGGCGAATTAACAATGTACTTTGCAATAGTTATTACAATATAATAATTATTGCAAAGTACACTGTTAATTCATGCATACTAGTATGAATACATACTATTATTATAATTATTGAAAAGAGGGAAATAGCATAAGTTGTGTTAAAAGCAGTCTTTTTCAGTTAACTTACGTGTGCTTCGGAGGGGAAAGTTGTGGGCATGCGAGGTCATCCGTTGGGACTCCTTGAAACTAAACACATTTAGGCAGTAATTCAAAGCAAAATGTTGTACTGTGTGAATATTGCGCCTGCGTCTCGATCGTCTTCCATAAAGGTCCTTCGAACCATGGAACCATTTAATGGCCGTCAATCGAAGTACCTCCCTGTTGCAGTTGCTAAAACGGGGGTTTTGGCCGATGGCATCTGTATGTGCCAATAAGCAAAAAATAGACCTACCGTTGAAGATGCTAAATAACGGGCAGTCAAGGAACGACCGCTTCTCCTTGGATCCGCCCCTCCAGCAGAAGGTGTAACAGAGCGGCAGACCAATAAGAGCAGTCAGAAGATTTCTGACAGTCTTTTTCACTCCGCCCTCCCACCACGGCCAGCTGCTTGATCTGAAAACAGTTAAACAAATATACTCATACCGCCCTCTCTGCCAACTCCGTCTCAGTAGTTAGACGACGAACGAAGTCTTCGTAGGCTTCGGCTGTGCACAACGGCAAATGCAGACTAGAGGACCGGACGTCAGCAGCAGTGGCACCCCTCTCTAATGCACTGACAAAATCAGTCATTGTTACCCGCAGTTGCCGCACACTGTTGTTGAGGGCGACCATTTGCTCGACCAGGAAGTCGACATTTTCTCGAATAGACTGTCAATGAGATTGTCAGCAGTCTTAGTCCAGGGACGCTAACCGAACGCTTACGTCGGTCATGTCATTCTGCGCCTGCTGGTTACATACAGGTGTGGTATCAGGCACTGGCACAGGTAGCGGCATTTCCCTAGACAGACCTCGGTAATAATTAATAAAAGGCAGTTACCGATATGAAGTCGATGGCGTACGTTGACTCGGCTGAGAGAACACTTGGGGAATCGGTTCGTCCGTTGTTGGCGTACGAATAATTAATGATAATTATGCTTTCTGTAGTATTCGTGGTGGTGTTGGCCAACCAATTAGCTGCCTCGGACGATAAAGTAGTTCGTCATCATCGTCTGAATCCGACGTCTGCCTGCGGACATATCTGCAAAGAAATATTAACAGTATGGAACATGTACTTCTTCCTCATCCTCCTGCCTAATTCGCCCGGCTCGGAGCTAGAAAGTTTGTCTGATAGCTTTGCTTTTCGTACCAGCTATCTGACCTTCAGCAGCGGCAGATTACTTTTAAGTAGCCGAACAGCGTACACCTTGGTGCCGTCTGGTGGCCGCCTGTTATTGTTCAGCAGGACAGACCGATCTGTGGGGTTCTTAGGCCGCATAACGCTGCCAACGTCGAAAAACCAGGCTGCAGCCACCACGGCCACAGCCTTGTCATTTACGAAATCAACAACGGAATACAGCTACAGGGAAGTTTATATCCTCAAATAAACAATGTAAACAAGTGTCACAGCTCACGCAGTGTGCAGTAAGGGTGTGGCAGTTCGCGTCTCCTCGCCCTCCGCCTTTGCCACGCTGCTTTCCTGTCCGCGTCACGCTCCCTGTCGATACGCTGTTGGGGCGCGCGAGGCTTATCACTAGCCTCGCGAGTGCTCGAAGCCAATTAACGCTGTCCCCACTTTGATTGGCTGGCGGACGCGGAGACAACGAAAGGCGCACATGCGCGCTGGGACACAACATCTCGAAGGCTGACACAGACAACAGCTTGCTTGGAGCGCGCTCGCGGCGACTGCCTACAGAGCCCTTGTGTACGCACTTCCTCAGGCAGTATAGGTTGTCCAACTCAAACCGTCTTCCCTGACTTTTGATTGGGAATCTTGATCTTGTCGACCACACCACTTTCGACAATTGGTGATCCCTTTGCGAACAGCAATCCTCCTTCCTAATCTACGATGAAGTCAGGCGTCGATCATGGACAACCTTCCACCGGAAGTGCAGAATTTTTTGGCGTCCGCCTTCGGCATTCTTTCGGTCACGCAACTTACTCAGATGGCCAATCGTCTTATGGAGATGCACGGCTTTTCCATGCCGTCACTTTTAGCACTTCCAACTCATCCTACGTCTCCCCTTTCGCAGTTGGAGATCGAGCTCAGCAAACTGGCCAGCGATATAGCTTCACTCCAGAAGCAGACAGTCTCTCCCTCATCTCGGAGCCAACCGAAGCCGTCCATCCCGCATCTCCAGTCTTTACATTCAGCCCGTCCAAACGCAGCTGCCATCTGCTGGTACCATACCACCTTTGGTGTTAAAGCTCGTCGCTGCATCTCTTCCTGCTCCTTCACCCCCAAGCGCAGCAAACGGGTAAAACCGGTCAGCCCGAAGGCCAGTGCAGCCAATCTTCCCGACAGCTCTAACTCTGGTCGCACCTTCTACGGTTGCAACACTGCGACTCGCAGTTGTTTCCTGGTGGACACTGGAGCCAAAATCAGCGTTGTTCCCCCAACTGCAGCTGATCGTCGCTTTCCTAGCCCTGGTCTTCACCTCCAAGCCACCAACTGTTCCCTCATTTCCAGTTTTGGCAGTCTGTCCCTCAACCTGAACATTGGCCTCCGTCGGTCATTCTCATGGATCTTTGTGATTGCTGATGTCAGTCATGCAATTCTCGGTTCGGACTTTCTTGCCGAGTTCGATCTCCTTGTCGACTGCCGACGTGCCCGTCTCCTCGAGCGCACAGCCGGTCTGTTTGTTCGTGGACTAACTCCCCTTACTGCCCTCACCAACTTATCTGTCTTAAAAAGGATATTGCTAGCCCATTTCGGCAACTGCTTCTTAATCACCCCAACATAATCAACCCCCAAGTTTCGCAGTGGTGAGGTCCAACATGATGTTGTGCACCATATCCGTACCTCAGGTCCTCCTGTGTTTGCTCGACCTAGACGACTAGCACCGGAGCGTTTTCAGGCCGCGAAGGCGGAGTTTGAACACATGCTGCAACTGGGAATAATTCGACCGTCCGAGAGCCCTTGGGCGTCCCACTGCACATGGAGCCCAAGGCGATATGAGGCGACTGGCGACCCTGGGCGACTATAGTGCCTTCAACAGCGCTACCATTCCTGATGGGTACCCCCGCCTCATCTTCAGGCCTTTGCTGGAACCCTTTTCTGCAAAGCGGTTTTCTCGAAGATTAATCTGGTGCGTGCTTTTCATCAGATACCAGTCGCCCCCTGAGGACATCCCTAAAACCGCCGTCACCACACCCTTCGGTCTCTTCGAGTTCATCCGCATGCCGTCCAGTCTTCGTAAGGCCGCCCAAACGTTCCAGAGGTTCATCAACCATGTCTTACGTGGTCTACCCTTTGTGTACGCCTATACTGATGACCTCTTGGTTGCCAGCCGGAATGAAGAAGAACACAAACAGCATCTTGCCTTGGTGTTTGACCGCCTTCACAAGTTTGGCGTTGTCATCAACCCCTCCAAGTGCGTGTTGGGTGTGCCTTCACTCGAGTTTCTCGGCCATCAGGTCGGCTGTGAAGGTTTGCGTCCCCTACCCTCCAAGGTTGAAGCAGTTCGTAATTTCCCTCCACCGATTTCCATGCGTCAGTTACAGCGATTCCTCAGCATGGTAAATTTTTACCGCCTGCTGCTTTTGAGAGAATCAAGAAGTCGCTTGCCGACGCCAACTTACTCACGCATCACGCTCCCGAAGCTCAGCTGCCCCTGATGGTAGAGGCTTCGATCGTAGCCGTAGGTGCAGTCCTTCAACAACACCTTGCTGGTCCGACCTAACCACTTGCCTTTTTCGCCAAAAAGCTCTTACCAGCTGAGACACGTAACAGTACCTTTGGCCGTGAACTACTTGCTACTG